CCTTTCTTTCCTGCTTTTTTTATTTTATTATTTTGAAAATATTTTTAAATATTTAATTTGAATTTCCTATTGGTAGCTTTTGGCTGGTAGTAACAAGTTACTGTTTCAATACGTTTAAAGTAGCAATGGATAATAAGAGGTGGATTGTATTTTCAGCTTTAGATGTGTTGTAGTATATTAGGATGTTATTGTTCAACTTTTTAAATTCCTTTTCAATTAGCAATGAATTAAAGTGTAATTTTTAGATAAAGATAATTCTATACAAACATACAGTTAGCAGCTGAGTTTAAACTGAACTTAATTTTTCAGATTTGTTATGCTTCAGCTGTTTTTGTTGTAAAATGATTGAAATTGCATTTATCTTTTTATATTCATCATTCATATTATAATAAATAAATATGTGTTAAAACTTTTTTTTTTGAAAAAGGTAATATTTTCTGTTAAAAAATGTTTTTTTATTTTTTTATATTTCATTTTTTTAATTTTATTTATTTATTTCAAGTAACCATTTACAGTTAAAGGTAATTTCCGATAAAATATTTAAAAATATTAAATACAAGTACATTTTATTATTTATAATAGTTACGAGACCGGAGAACTTGAAGAAGATAAAATCTTATCATCAGTAACCTTTGGTAATAAAAATTGGAAATAAAAATGTATTGTTAGAAAAAAATCATGTAAAGAATCTTGATTGGTAAAAACTTCGATTATATTCTTTTTAAATTTTTGAGAGGTATTGGCTTCTTTAAGTTTACCACTCAGGCTTGTAAAATGGTTCCATAGCATCGGGCCACGATAGGAAATGGCAAAGCTCGTAAGTTTTGATGTACGGAAAGGTTTTTTAAATCTTCCGGTAGATCGCGTGTTTTATCGGTTTAATGTTTTAAGGAAAATTATTTCATAAACCTTCGGCGTTTTTTTTTGACTGATGTTGAAACATAAATTGTGTAATTTTGAAAATATTTAGTTCATAAATATCAAGTTCCCGCATGCTTTTTAGAAGAGGTTTAGCATTTTTGAAGCGATTTTGAAAATGAATAATGCGTGCTGCATGATTCTGTTGTATAAGGAGACAGTCAAGTTTAGATTTATTTGTACTACCCCAAAAAATATTGCCATTAGATAAATAACTATTTATGAATGCAAAATATAGTTGAGTTAGTGTAGATTTGTCTGAGATTTGTCTGGTTTTATATAAAATGCTTTTTGAGATTTTATTGCTAATATGTTTAATATGATCTCTCCAGGATAAATTTTTGTCTATTAAAATACCAAGTAATTTATTTGTGAATGAGCGCTCAATTTCGATGTTATTTATATAGAGCATTGGTAAGGATTTTGGAATATATTGAAACTTTCGTTTAGAATGGAATAAGGAAAACTTAGTTTTATCAGTGTTTAAAGATAGGCTGTTAGCGATAAGCCAGTTTAATATTTGTTCTAGCTCATTATTTGCTCTTGAAATGAAGAGATAATATTACTGTGAGAATAGAATAAAGTCATGTCGTCTGCAAACATAATAGTAGACATAGTATTTGATGCTTTATATAGATCGTTGACATAGATTAAGAACAGCAGCGGACCTAAGTAGGAGCCTTGTGGAACCCCACATGATATTTTAAGTTTGTTTGTCTCAAAGCGATAATTTAGAGAAATAAACTGCTTTCGATCAGTTAAGTAACTGGTAAACCGTTTATGGTATTCGCGGCTTATTCCATAACATTTTAGTTTTTTTAACAAAATCTGATGGTTAACGGTGTCAAATGCTTTTGACAAGTCTAGGAATAAACCTACGGTGAATTTGTTATAAGAAGATGCTCCATTGATAACTTCAACAAGTTGAATAAGTGCATGTTCCGTAGAGTAATTTAATCGAAAACCATATTGGTTATAATAAAGAAGATTGTTATCATACAAAAATGCAAATACCCTATTATACATGATACGTTCGAGGATTTTTGAAAAAACAGGTAATTCCGATATAGGTCTATATTTGTAACCATTTATTTAGCTAAATGTTGCATTATTTATATTGATGGTGAATTCTGAGTGTTTAATTCAAGTTTTCAACCAAAAATAATAATAAAAAAATGTTGTTGTGTACAAGTACGAGCAGGGCATAGCTTGACTCATCATCAGGTTGATGTTTTATTCTATTTGTCATATAATTCAGAAAAAATTAGAGTTATCTGAATAGTTAAAAATGACATTTTAGTATACGTTTGCATTACTTTGTTTATCAAAAGAAATTTAGTTCTGTAAACGTACTGGTATAATATTTATTGATATTCCGCATGCCAGAGATAATCGTCCTAAAAAATGTTCCATTTTTTGCAATTTAAGAATTTTTTGACAAATGCACAATTTGTAACTAAAGGTGTGAAAGAATTAATGAAAGATTTGCAGTTAACTTTGGAGCATATTTTTTCTATTTTTAGAGAACTGAATATTGATGAAAATGTCACTTGTATTCAAAATGGTTATGAAGATTTTGCTGCTGTGGTTACTTGCATTGATAAAGTTAATAAAGAACATAAGTCAGTAGCATATTTAAAAAAGTTTTATATATAGTTTCCAGTCAGTGAACCTTGGAGTTAAGAAAGAGTTAAAAATTAAAGAGAATTACAATTCTGTTTAATTAGGTACATTTTATTTGTGCATTAAAAATTCAAAAAAAAAATATATATATATATATATATATATATTTATTAGGAGAAGGTTTTGAATTTGTTGGTTGTTACAGAGGATTGGAAGTCTTTGAATTTTGAGAAGGTATTATGATATTTTTAGCGCTTTTTTTTGGTGCAAATGGTGCAAATGGTAATTGTCATAAATCCAACCTATTAACAATTTCATGATTTTATATGTATTTTGTTCTTATCATGGAATAAAGCTGATTCTTATCATGGATTAAAGCTGTTAAAATTTAAGTTTTTAAACTGGCAACATATTCAGCAACAGTATTTTCTTAAGATTTGTTAATCGCTGCAAAGAAAACATTTTGCTATAGGCCGACAAAAATAAAGCAAAGTTACCCATCTTATCTTGAATATGTTCAGGTAAATGTTATGTCATTTATTACTGTCATAATTGGTAAGTATAAGAAATATTTTTAATTTCATTTTAACTTTGTTTTAATAACCAAACAACACTTAAAATGATTGAAGTAAAGTTTATTGATTTTTTTATATGATTATTTTTCAGATGATTATGGGTTTGTCTATGATTTTGTATTAAGTTTCTGCAAGATTTTAGGCACATGCATCCAGATGCAGCTGATTGTTTTTGTTAACGCATGTTAATATTGGTTCAATCTATTCTTGCTAACTGTTTGATCTCAAATCTATTCTTGCTAACTGTTTGACCTCAAATCTATTCTTGCTAACTGTTTGACCTCAAATCTATTCTTGCTAACTGTTTGATCTCAAATTTATTCTTGCTAACTGTTTGACCTCAATCTATTCTTGCTAACTGTTTGACCGGTTTTCAGTACACTATTATAGAATATTCTATAATAGTGTACTGAAGACTAGCTTTTGGTCTAAAAAGTCGTTTTTAGGACCAAATGCCAGCTGGGGAGGTAAATATTGGAGAATCAAGTTAGTTAAGTTTTTTTTTTGAAATATACAACTTCAATAATAGCCTTGTTTATTACAAAAAAAATTAATTCATATAATAATATTAGCATTTGTAAATTCACAATTCTAAAACTCAAAACGTTGTAATTTATTAAGCTTAAACTTGGTTATTGTTTTGTTTTAAAAATTATAAAAATTATGAGTTTAATTCATTTTCAAATTTTATATACTGAATTCTATTAAACTAAATTATATCTGTTAAAATATTGGATCTAATAAAACACCCTTCTGGGTGAAACCTTTGGTTCTGATAATAGTTCGAGGATGTATCAATTGGTGTGCGCCTAAAAGTAGTTTTGTTTTTTATAGATTTTTCAAAATCAATTAAATCAGACGATGTCCGTTCTACCGATAGGCTCCTCAAATAATTGGAAATTTATTTGGAAAAAAAATTATTTTTTATGACCATAAATTTTATAAGTATTATAAAACATTGTTGTATCATAAAACAGTGCTGATATTAAGAGATCATTTTCTTAATTTTTCCTTTAAAAATAAGGGAAGACTTTTTTAGTGTAGTTAAAAATCGCACTGATAATCGAGAGCCTCTTTCAAAATCTGTTGTGACATCGGATTAATTTGTATCCATGCCAGAAGAAAGTAAAAAAAGTAAAAAACAAAATAAAAACAGCAGCTTTAAATTTTTTGCCATATCTATTTCTCTTCTTTTTTGAATCCACGCAGTCACGGACAAGATATTTCTGGTGCATTACATATTATTTACATAATGATAAAAACAATGTAAAAAAAAAAATATTATGTATATAAAACTTTTATCCTCTAACAATAATTTAAACCTTATAATCAGTCTTTAGCAACACACAAAAAAACACAAAAAAAAACTACTTTTTTTCAAGAGTTTTTTATATACTAATTTTTGATAAATTTCAAAATTATTTTTATTTTGACAAAAAAAAGTATCTACAGTACTAGAACTTCTCATCACCACCATAATATATATATATATATATATATATATATATATATATATATATATATATATATATATATATATATATATATATATATATATATATATATATATATATATATATATATATATATATATATATATATATATATATATATATATATATATATTTATATATATATATATATATATATATATATATATATATATATATATATATATATATATATGCATATTATAATTGTTATTATTATTATTATTATCAATATAAAATGAAATATTGTCAGGTGACAAAAGCGTGATAGAAGAAAAATTTTTGTAAAAAAAGAAAATTTCAAGTAAAGCTAAGACTAAAATTAACAATGGACTGTTTTATTACTTTAAAATATACAAAAAATATTAATAAAAAAAGTTTAGAAAAAACGTATTGTTAAAATAAATATTATTATTTTGGTAATTTGCACATAAATTCGTTCAAATATTTATTTTCATCTATAGTAAAAAAGATATTAACTCTATTCGTGATATAGCCGATGTGAATATACACAATACATGTCTATAAACTTAATAAAAATGCATATATATTAAAAGATACATTTTAGACCGTGTAATTCTAAGCTCCTTTATATGTTCCATGACCAAATAAACCAGTTCTTGCTATAGAGTCAGTTTGATGCTTTTGGAAAGCTTTTTCACGAGCTGCTTCGTTGCGAAATGTATCTAATGCAGGCAATGCCTAAAATACAACCTATAACTAATAAATATTGTTCTAAAAGTACATAACTTTTAAATCCGATGTTTTAAGCATTTTTTGGATTTTGACTGCAATCTTGATATGATCAAGATTGACTAAATCAAGAGCTTTTTACTAGTATAAAAACTTATACTAGTAAAAAGCTCTTGATTAAATAAGTATATAAGTATTTATATAAGTATATACTCGAAAGCCCAAGGTTTGCGCTATCTAACTCCTCCTGATGTCTCATAATAACTGTTAACCTATAATTAACCAATATCTTATTAACTATATTAATTTAAAAACATCTGTAATTTCCAAAGTACTTTTTTACCAGTATAAACCATAAGTTGATTTGTTCCCTTACCTACTGATGAATGCAGTATTCTACTTAAATCTGTTCCTTTTACTTTATTTTTTTGAGCTGATTTTTTTTGAACGGAAACACTTGGTATTAATTCTATTAATAAACAGTTGTATGTTTCTTAAGTTCTGTTCTTGGTCCTCTATTGTTTGTAATAAACATTAATGACCCAAAATTCTTTATTCAATTCTCGTCAGTTTATCAATTTGTTAATGATAAAAATCTCTTCTGTATCAACAAATCATGTAAAAAACAAAACTATATAAAAATATAAACTCAGATCTAAACACTATAAATGACAACTTTATTCGTATTAACATCAAAAAAACTAAACTAACTTTTTTTTATACTATATATATATATATATATATATATATATATATATATATATATATATATGTATAAACAGTAGCATTAAAAAGTATTTTCACTACATCACATTCTACAGCAGAATAAATTTTTATTTGACTTTACATTAATATATTTTAAATAATTATTTTTCATTTTTGTTTGTGTCAAAAGCATTTATACTCTCAATTATATTTGAAAAAAAAATTAAGTTAATAAATAAAGATAACTATCAAAGTTCATGAAATTAAAAAGTATATTAATCAATATTTGGTAAAATAGCCTTTTGAGGTAATTACAGTAGCACATCTTTGAGGCATTGAGTTGACAAGCTTAACTAGTTTGTCTATAGGGATATTTTTCATAATTTTTCATCAAATTGGTATAGTATTTGGCATCCATGATCAATTTGAACTAATGGCCTAATGAATCTCTAAACTTGAACTAATGGCTTTACACAATCACAAGAAAAACATCTTAACACCATGACACTACCACCTCCTTGTTTTATGGTTGGTACAGTGTACCGCAGGTCTTCCCTTTTTGTTTTTTTGTTATCTAACATACTTAATACCATCAGATGAAAAAAAAATTTCTTTAGTTCCTTCATTTTGCAACACTTTACCCCAATCTTGTTTAGTCCAGTGTAAACGCTCTTCTAATTTTACTTGAGTCATCTGGTTCTTATTTGAAATCAATGGTTTTTGACTAGGATGTCTTCCAAATGAATTTTTGTCACAGTAATGTCTTCTCACAGTTGACTCAGACTCTGTTGTATTCAGAAGTAATCTGTGGTCCAGTAAGGTGAGCATCACCTTTTCACATTTGAAAAAAGTTAATGATCATCCCTTTTAGTAGTTTAACCGGTTAAAACCAAGAACTGGTTAACCAAGAATAACCGGATCTGGGTTTTGTTTCTAAATTTCCATTGCATGCTTTTATCTTGATCCATGTACATGCAAATTGTTTGGATACTCCAAATTGACGAGCAGCTTTCTCTTTTGTGATTCCACGATAACTAACTTTTCCCATTTTTGAATGTGATTCATTTTTGTGCACAAAGAAATGATAGTAAAAATACTTTAGGTCGCTTCAGTATATATATATATATATATATATATATATATATATATATATATATATATATATATATATATATATATATATATATATATATATATATATATATATATATATATATGAAGAGTGTATTTTCATAATGCGGTATATCCATTTTTGTGGTATTGAGATAATTGACTTTTTTCGCCACACCAACATGTCTCGTATATTTTGAAAAATTATTGTTTCTTAATGTATATATACATAAAGTATATTATATAATGTTAATAAATAAAATATTATTAAATAAATTTTTTTTTTTTCTGTCAATAAGTTTGCATTTATTTTCAAAATACTGTATATCCGATTAAAGCTTGTTAGCAAAATGCGGTATATCCATTTTATAAAGATGTTATGGAAAGTTTTTAAACTTTAAAAGACCTGAATAAGTTTTAATGATTAATTTTAGTTAACATATTGAACAAATATGTGTATTTAATGTTTGGTCGTTATATTTTATTGATAATGTGAATGTAAACAATGTTTTATTAAAGAAATGTAAACTATTACATTTCACAATTCGCAATTGTAAATTTATATTTGTTTCGGAGAGTTAAATATGGACAATAAACAATAATATTTTTTTAGTGTTGTGTAGTTGTAACAATGATGATCACTATTTTTAAGTCTCCATAGAACTAATGGACAATTAATATAACATAAAAGTCATCGTTATATTTTTGAACAAAATAAAATTTTAAAAATGAAATACTGCAATAGCCTCATTTTATTTGCAACAAAGCAATTGTCGGTTTAACAAAAACTAAAAAGGAAGTATTATTATTGAATGCTTTCCATTAAAAAACAGGTAACAAATATATTTAAACTTATTAATTTAAGTTGCCTTTTTAATATATTTTCTATCATTATTCCATAATTCGTTCAGTTAAACAAACAAAGCATGGTAGTTTAAACGAACACTAGAATTAAGAAATGCTATTCTTTTCTTTTGTTTCATACATCATATCTTTTTTTCTATGTGAAATAGGATATTAGGTAACGCATTAATCTTGTCCATCGCAATCCGCCATTTCTTTAACGCAACTTTAAAATATTTGCGCTTGCGCAGAAGTAATATACATTTGCCACAGATTGGTCAAAATTAAATACGGCATTTTGAAAATAAATAAAAAATTTTATACCGCGTTTTGAAAATAAATGTGTTTTAGAAGTAAAAAAATATTGGGTTATACTTCGTTTAGCATATATTCGGACACAATGTCTGCTAGGTCCTTATAAACTAAAAATAAACCACACAATTTCTAAAAAATTTTTAAAATGGCGTTTACCGCGTTTTGAAAATAAACTCTTCATATATATATATATATATATATATATATATATATATATATATATATATATATATACATATATATATATATATATATATATATATATATATATATATATATATATATATATATATATATATATATATATATATATATATATACAGGCATAGGCGAGAGTAAATAAGTGCAAAAGCAGTAGCTCAAGAGTAAAGAAATTAGTGGCTCGAGAGAAAAGCTCTCCTTAAACGAACATGGTGAACCCGGTGAGCTGCTCCTCTAAAAAGCTTTTTATGAGGGCCTATGATTTTTGCGCGAGCTATCTGTTTGTTCTTTAAAAAAATTGCTTATTAAATACAAAACTTGGTTTTATACTTGCTACAAGCATATGTTTGTAACGTTAATGTTACTAGAATATACACATAACAAGCACCATTTTTTGCACCATGAAGTAATTTTTTAGATGAGCATTGTCTTTGGATTTTCACACAAGCTACTTATTAACAATTTATTTATGAACAAATTATTTATTTACAACATTACTTATTTGATAAAAAAATTGACAAAGAGCTATAAAAATTTTTACTGGTTATAAAAAATGTTTTATTATTTTTTTATTATAATAACGGGTGATGCATAATTAGTGACACAAAAATCAAAGCCTTATATTTTTAAAGAAATAAAAGAAAAAAATTTTTTCATTTTTAAAAAATAATAACACAATATTTATTTTTTAAAAATTATTTTTTGTAAATCGATTGAACGCCTTGATCGGCTATTAATCTCAATTTAGTTTTGATACCCTTCATAAGGGATTGTAAAAATGTCAAATCAATTTTTTTCAGACAGGCTTCGATATGCCGAATCAGTTGTTGTTTACTTTTGGCCTCCCATCCACCCTCATACACATTCTGAGCCAATACTCCCCAAAAGTTTTCGATTGGCCTGGCTTTGGGGACATTAGGAGGGTTCATATCGACCGGCACGAAGTTAATCATTTCATTCATCCACGATATTGCCTCTTTAGCTCTATGGGCACTAGCTAAATCGTGATACTTATCTATGAATGGCAACAATCGTTCCTTTAAGCATTCTTTGATATAAATTTCGGATTTTATTGCAGCTGAGGTTGACGACCGGAAGAGTGGTTTCGACATTCCACGCTCAGATAATGCGATCCAAACGAGAATTTTTTTCGGAAATTTCTCTTTTCCCACAAAATGAACATTTTCTGGACATTTTTCTTTGTCGTTCGTGTAATAACCGGCGTTTCCAGGCATTTCATCGCCAGCAAAACAAAAGTATTTTTCGTCGTCCAAAATTAAAACGCTTTGTTCTTTGTAGAGGTGATTGACAAGTTTTCGACTTCTTTTTTGTGCCCTTAGACGTTGTTCATCATTGTATTTCGGTGTTTTTTCGCGTTTCCGATATTTTATGTTCATTTTGGCTAATTGTCTACAAATTGTTGCTTGATTTACGTTGAATTTACATGCGAGCTTTCTTTGACTTACACCTTTTGGATTGTTGGTCAACCTTTTAAGTTTTGCTTTTTTTTCCTGAGTCCACGATGACGGGCGACCAGAATTTTTTTTTATTTTTAAACATTGTCCATCAAGCTGTCGATTGATATATCTATATGCTGTTTTGCGAGCGATTCCTTCTTTAATAAAATGATTAGCGGCTTCGGCTTTGGTCGCTTTTGGGTTTTTTACAAAAAATTTTTTTGACGCTTTTTTGAAGAGCTGCTCTTTCTTGGCCATTTAACTTTTTTTTTGGATAATTTTTTTTTTAATAAAACTAGAATATTCAATTTACCAAAATAAATTTATATGGTTTAATGAAAAAGATTATATTATGAGCAAAACTAAGTTAACTTTTGTGTCACTAATTACCCATCACCCGTTAGAATGCAGGCATTTTAAGAACTATTACAATAATTTTGCAATAAAAGTGATTAATATATTAGTAAATGATTTATAAAGTACACAATTCATTACACAAAATAAAAATTATTATGCAATAAATTAGATTGTAATAACTTTATTTTTTATCAGTTAAATAATTTTATATTTTATAAATATAATTTAGAGTGTAATAATTTTATATTAATCAAACAGTCCGATCTAATCAAAAACATTTGCATTTAAATCAATGCTCCTTTTAAAATTTTTTGCAGCAACCATTTTTTTAAAATGCATTGCAATTTATTATGCAATTAATAAATTTATTTTTATAAAAATTACTTTGTGATTTTCATTTTAGTTACAATTATAATTGCACTTTTGAGAGAAAAAATTATACTTTTGTGATAGCCGTAAATTGCTCCCGTAAACTGTTTTAGGGGAGTGTGGGCGGAAGCGACCTGTTAAAGGTTGCTCTGGCCCACGATCTGTTAAAGGAGCGATATGTTAAAGCATTTATAGATTGGCAGTTAGGTTTATATTGCCAAAAGCCAACCTAAATTCCAAGGGTTTTTAAGAAAAGAATTAGTTAGTTTGTTAGTGCACTTCTAAAAAGGCTGCAAACAACCACTATTAGAGTTAAAAGTTACTGGAAGAGAAAAGATGAAGTTTATAAAGGAATATAATAACTAACAGATCACTAAAAAGATTGCAAATTATATGAATCAGGAAAACAAGATGAAGGAAGCAAATTCCAAAGTACTGATGTTCAAGGAAAAAAACTAGAAAAATAATAATATTAGGAACAATCACAGTAAAATGATGAGAATTAATCAAATGACAAGTAACACAAGAATGAGTTTTAGAAGATGACACAATAGACGCTAGCTCTTTAAAGCAGTGCCCATTACAGTATTTATAGAAAAGAGAAAAAAAATCAACATTATGACAATGTGACAATGGTTGAATGTTGGCTGCAAGAGCAGTTTCCACTATGTTTAACACGTTTTTGCACCTAGTCTAAAAGAGAAAAGGGCATCATTCGAAGATCCGCTACAGATATGGAAACAGTATTCAATACAAGGACAGATTTAAGATTTATAGAGATAAAGAATAGAAAAGATAAAGAGATGCAACCTTAGAAGATGATAATTATGTGATGGATTTGATATATGGTTTCCGAGAAAGATTGGAGTTGATTCTACAAGACTAAAGATGGATGACTCATCAAGTACATAACCATTTATAAATATAGAAAGATCTAGATTGTTGGGATTATGATTAGATTAGCTTTATGATTAGATTAGCATTAGCTGAAAAAAATTGAGTTTTATCTGAGTTAAAGTTCACCAGCCACATGAGAGCCCCATGCTGTAACAGAAGTAAGATCCTCTCAAATGCCACCTTTATTCAATCAGAGGAGTGTTGGCTTCTTACCAAGAACAATAATAAAGGGTAGTATCATCAGCAAACAATGCCACTTTAGATGTGAGAATTTCTGGTTAATGTAAATTAAAAATATCAGGCCATGGATAGAAGTTTGAGAAAGAAGAGTGCTGTCCATCGAGGACAACTTTTATACTACAATTGGTAAGAAAAAGATTCAATAATCTTAAAGATGTTACCCAATACACTGTAAGAAGAAAGCTTATGGAGAAAACTAGCATGCCAAAATTTTTCAAAGGAAAAAGTTTGGCCTGCTTTTAGAAACGTCAAGAGCAACAGCCCTACCCTCTCCACATCTATCTAATGCACGATAAAACCTATTAGTTATTACCATTAACAATTCGGCAGTAGAACGAAAAGATCGAAATCCATATTGATGATCAAGATGAGAGAAATCTTGCTTATATTAGTAAAAAGAATAGTGGAATTATAGTTAGACAAGTTAGATCGCTCTCCAGAATTTTTGAAAACAGGGATAACAGATGTCAATTTCATGCAGTCTGGAAAACAAGACTTTGATAAGCACTTGTTAAATTGTTTTGAAAGTATAGACAACAGCTCTGGAGAACACTTCTGCAAGACTATAACCGGTATGTTGTCCGAGCCACAAACTGTAGAAGGGTCTTAGGAAATCACTTTAGATACAGAGGTTGGAGTGATAAAAATGTCAAGCAATGGATAAACCTATTTATTGTCTATATCAGGCATGATGTAATTAGTGGAGTCCAGAGATTAATAGAAAGTTCTTAGCTTAAAGGTGAGGTAAAAAAAATCTGAACCATGCAAGAGAGGTGAAGTAAAAGATTTGCCCTTATCACAGACACTTTTAAAAATTCTCCAGAAGTCTCAGCAGCCTAATTTTTAAGATGATATACTAGATTCAGTCTAATAGATGAAGAAGGGGTGCAAAACTGGTCAACAGATAAAATCTATTTACCCCTTAAATACTTATATTGGATTCTAGGATTCAGAAAAGCAAGGAACTCTTCCATATTGTTGTTGAAAAAAAAGTTGTTTATATGTAGTTTTTTTGTGCCCTCCATTAAAACAACTGCGATTTTTTATAGTTTATAATCAGCATGATTTAATTATGAAACTTTAAATTATAAAAATTATAAAAATTCTTACATTTTTTTGAAACTTAGGCATTTGCCATAGAGGAGGAGGATCAACAGATGGCTTATGTCGTCTTAAAAATGAAGTACGAGTTTCACTGTAGCCTCTGTGTCTTTTAGAAATTTCACTTTTTCTATCATTGCAAAGTTTTGCTAGATGTAACTGCTGCTCTTCTTGTGTGTAGCCATATTCCTTATGCTCGAAAATGTTAATTGGAAGTGATGCTCTATAGTTCAAAGTAAAAACATTATATAAATTAAAAAACAAATAAAAAACAAACAATCAAAAAAATAAAACCTAAAAACATTAAAAAAAATTAAAATTAATTATATATATATATATATATATTATATATATATATATATATATATATATATATATATATATATATATATATATATATATATATATATATCAAGCCTTATCAGGCAAGGCGTGAGTTTGCACACCCTATATGGCCGCGCACACAGTATTTTGTTTCGTTAACTTAGCCACAAAAATAAAAATCTTAAATGATTAAATATATAAAAAATAACCCAGAAAAATTATCAGACCAATCAGACTTTACTAACATGACTTTAAAAAAAATTAAAGCAATGGCACCATTGAGCTAGCCACAACGTTGTTAAAAACACGCAGATTATCAATATAAGCAAAAAATTGTAGTCAAGTTGCCAAAAAAAAATGTATGTGTGGTCATATATGGTATGTGACCACACACCTTTTCTAAGAAGGCTCAATATACATAAACATATACATATATATATATATATATATATATATATATATATATATATATATATATATATATATATATATATATATATATATATATATATATATATAAACCCTGCAAACATTGTTTTAGTGGGTTTGCAGTGGAACTATATAGGTATTTTTGAGCGGTTTATTGGAGTTTTGCTCATCAGTTACTTAGTGGACCATTAGTAGCAGCCGCTATAAAAGATCAGCTAATAATTTTTGACATGTTAATAGTGGCTAGTCATTGGTTAGCCACCTTTGACAGCTACCGCTAATGGTCCACTAAGTACAGCAGACTGCTCAAAATATAAATTCCCTTTCCAAGTGAATTAAATTTTTCAGTTCATAATGAGATGCATAACAACACACCTGTCTATAAAAAATATGCTAACCTTATGACACAATTAATAGATATTAAAAGTAGATATAATAATATAAATGAAGCAATTATAAAAAAGATTATTTTTTAGCAATCATCAATGAAAAAATCGCATTGTTAATGAAAAAAATAATAGAACATCAAACACAACAAAAGTTTGGAATTTTTTTGCTTACTTTTTAAGAAGCATATTGAAAACCGGAGATGCAAAAATATTCTTAATTTCTTTAAAACTTTCAATGACAATAATGGCTGATTTTAACCATTATCTAATTATAGCAAATTTTCACTATTGCAATTTAAAGTAGTTATTGTTCATTGATATTGATTTTGCAATTCAAAAACTGATTTGATTTTTAAATGATAATAAAAATCATCAACTTGATGCATTAGCTGTGCATTTAATTATTTTTTTTAGAGGAATTTAATAAAGATATCTTTAATCATTAGCAGAGTTTCAAAAAAACTTTTTTTTTTTAAAATGTTTTTTTGGTGTTTTCCTGTTGTTTTTTTTAAGGCAATTTTTCAGTTTTTTTGACATAAATTTTGGAGGAGTTTTCTTTTATTCTAATATATTTTTAGTATATGATCATTAAAAGCACAAATACATGTATAAACACCAACTTGTATTTTAAAGAAAAAATTAAATTAGCTATAAGTTAGTTATAAATCTAGGCATATAGTATAGGAATATTTATTTGTTATGTTGTTTTCCTTCCAACTTTCATACAATCATTATACTAATGTAAATCAAAAAATTCATATAATAAATTTTTTTTATAACAAAGAATAAGTGTAGAACAATTATATTAAGTGTGAATCACAAGTAGGCACCTTGCTTCAAAATAATCTCATTTAAATCTGTTTTCAGTTTTTCCAGTTGCCGTTGCATATGATCATGTGAATGTGACCTTAAGTTTGTCTTCATGGCTTCTTAAACCTCTTTCTTTGTCTGAAAATCCAAATCCTTGCGGCAAAATTCAAATAAAGAGAAAGCATGTCTGTACAACAAGTTAAAGTCGGGGCTATATGGAGGTTGAATGACACGGGTGACTTTTTTCTCAGCAAGAAAGTTTCTAACTGCAGCAGACACACATGGCCTGGCATTATCATGCTGAAGGAGTATTGTGTTCCATGTTACTCAATTTGAGCCTTTGTTGACAAAATTAGAATTCATATTCTATAGGAAAAGCATGTACACTTCTGAATTGACCGATTGTCCATTTGGAAGTACCTAAACATAGGCCTTGCCATCAAATGAGACGCAAATCACCATACTTTTTGCATCAAATTGGGATCTTCTGACACGTTTCAGAACTTCTTCACCTTTTTAAATCCAAGCGCGATTGCTACGTTTGCACCCAATCGATCTGTGGTAAACCCACTTCTCATCCACAATAGTTAGACATTATTCGACATCCAATTCATCTTGTAGGATGGTCAGAAATTTATGCGCAAGTTCAACTTGATTATGTTGATTTGCTGGGGTGAGATCATATGGGATCCATTGTAAACAAATTGATCTTTTCATCAATTTTTTGGTGATTAATGAATAAACTGAACCAAAAGAAATGTATACGACATTACAAATTTGCTCTATTGTTAAAATTTGTCTTTATCAAGCAGTTGTTAAATGGAGATACTGGATCTACCTGACCTCAATTCATCTGAAAACTGACTAAAATCACTTATGCTTGATGAAGAATACTTTTGGTAGTACTTGTATACTGTTTGAATGAAAGTTGCATCCTCACCCTAAACAGTAGTTATGAATTTGTGAGCATCAGATGGAGACTTCTGATTACGACGACAAGTCTCAGTTAACAACTTAATACTAACTTTGTCAATTTGCATTATAGCTTTAATAATTTAAATGATCTAAAATAAAAAATATTTAATTTATTAAGCATATATGTACATAATTTAATGTTAAGGATATCTATAAAAAGTTTTATTGTCAAGAATATTAAAACATAATTTATACGAACTTTTTGATAATACTAATATATAGAAACTATTCTTACTTCTTATTTTGATAATGTAAATATATTAGTGTATAATACCATGTTAATCTAATGTCAGACTTCAAATGCTTGAAATGCTTGATTATTTTTTTTTTAACATTTGTATATTGTGTTGTAAAGTCTGACATTGTTTGTTATATTTTTCAAAAATATATATATTGCTAGTAAGACCTTCTAAAAGATGCCATATACTTCTGAAAGATGCTATATACTTTTAAAAGATACCATTTACAAACTTTATTTATAGGAAAATGTAAAAGTTTTGAATTATTAATGTTTTATTTGGTTTTAAATGGTTATCGATTTATTTGGTTTTAAATGGTTATCAATTTATTTGGTTTTAAATGCTTATCAATTTATTTAGTTTTAAATGCTTATCAATTTATTTGGTTTTAAATGGTTATCAATTTATTTGGTTTTAAATGGTTATCAATTTATTTGGTTTTAAATGATTATCAATTTATTTGGTTTTAAATGGTTATCAATTTATTTGGTTTTAAATGGTTATCAATTTATTTGGTTTTAAATGGTTATCAATTTAGTGGTATAGTGAATATAGTGGTCAAACATGCTAAGAAGTGTTGTACATAATTTAAAAAAAAAAGTGTTAATATTAAAGAAAAAGAAAGCAATAATTTAGTAAATTGAACATGTATTTAAATTAAGATATTAAAAATGAATTGGCAGCTGTAAAACAAAGTACTACTAAAAATCATATATAAAAATTTAAAAGTAAAAAATCATTTATGCAGTAGTATTGTGTTAGTGTTACAGCATTAGTTAGAACTTTCTGAATATTTTTTTTCCTGACTCAGACTACTTTTATCTGGTGATTCGTAATTTATTTATTCATAATTAATTTTTTTTTATCTGCATTATTTTTATATCTAGACATTTTTTACTTAAATTGCAAGATTTTTCAACATTGTTGTTTAAGGTCAATTTTTAAACATAATGTTATGGCAAAAAGAACATTTAACTTTTCCATTTTGCTAATTTGGTTTGAAATTTTAAATAAATGCACAATTAAAGTTTTTTTTTTCTGCCTCCTGTATGGAGAGCCTAATCATATTTGATTACCAACAAAAAGAACAATAAGAAATTACTCAATAATTTAAAGATATCCTTTCTCTCTATAAATATTTATGTACATATATAGATATTATGGTGCCTTAAAACCTTATTTAGATAAAAAATCACAACACAGTGTTTTTATTGCGTTGTGGTTGTCTTTTGTGTTTATCTTTTTTTAAATTTTATTGCAAAAAAAGTACAGCTTTTTTTTATTAAAAATATGATTTTTAGATAAAATGATTTTTTATCTAAAGGGGGGGGGGGGGGGGGTAAAGGCACCCAAATATATATATATATATATATATATATATATATATATATATATATATATATATATATATATATATATATATATATATATATTTATATATATCAATTATTAAATATAATATATAATATATGTAAATAAACGATGCTTATTGTGTCAATATATAACACTAAAACCAAATAATATAAAATAAAAGGAAGATAAAATTATCTAAGAAGTTTTTATACAGGACTGCTGCAACCATGTTAACTTTTAAGCATTCCATAATAAAAAGAATTTTTGTAAATTTCAATATTAATTATCTAATTTAAGTCTGAAATTAAAATATGAATTATAATATAGCCATTAAAGCTAAATTTAGTAGCTTAAATGATAAATTTTTAAATATTTAAAAAAAAAAAAAAAAAAAAAAAACTGCAATTCCCCCTCCCCCCCCCAAAAAAAAAAAAAACAAGAACCAAAAAAAAGAATCACATCTTAAACCATCAGTGTATTTATAGTTCTTTTGCAATTGATAGAAGTAGTTTATAAGTAGTTAAGCTAATTGTATAATGGCTATTAGTATTATTCTAACTATATAATAGTCAAATTAACTGACAAATAATAAACTTACTTGGTTGGAACTCCAAAAACCACATCAGGGGGTAATGAAATTTTATTTCTTGTAGAATGATGCACTTTTTTTTTAAAACACTCATTGTTTAATTGATACTTGCTGAAGTCTTTTGCTGTTATTAAACCTAAATGTATAGCTGATTTATTCATTTTGATGAAATCCTTCTGAGAGAAATAATATGTATCATTACTTGAACCTTTCAAATGTGTTTGCCAGCTGCCAAGCACTAAAATAAAGAGCTCTAAACATCGACGAATGTACACATAATCATTAATATAAAAAAAATGTATGGAGTTAAACTATATCATGGTAAAAACCACCAATTTGTTGCAATGATAATAAAAGAATTTTTAGATTTCTCAAAATCACAACCATAAGTTACTTAACATAAGGACATTAACATGAAAGCATAACTGGTTAAACAAAAAGTAATTCAGAATCATAAAAACGGCATGACAAAGTTTAGCTCCAATACACACAATTAGATAATCAAAATCTACTAAATGAAAAACATGGCAAATGTAAGGGCCTTCAGAAACAAAAAGTATTACAGTTAAAAAAAACAACAAGAAAAGAGGGTTGCTTAGAGGTATAAGCCACAAGGAAAATGTAAACTTAGATCACTTGAGAAACAGCAAACTAAAACTATCTATGTAAATAGCTCAATTAGATAATTATAAAACGTTTGGTGAAATGTCTTATTTAGTAACAAAAAATAGAGAGTGAAAAAGTAAAACAATTTTGAATAAAAAGGTGAAAATAGAACAAATAGCTAATTACAAAAGTATATATATATTCACATTGAAATAGTGGGTTTTTTGTGCTAATTGCTTAAAAGGTAATATATTTCAAGCTAACTTATAAAGTAGATTTTACCTTTATAATTTATAAAGATAAAATCTACTTTACATGCATATACTAAAACTATATATATAACTATAACCACTAACACTCACTTCAATAGCAATAACGCTAATTTCATTTCCATAAATGAAAAAAGCTAATGTTGCAAAGCAGCAGGGCATAGAGAAAGTTGTATTGGACCACATGTTACCAGTGTCAGAGTGATTATATTGACCCTGACCTAACCAATTACATGTTTTATACATTTATATATATATATATATATATATATATATATATATATATATATATATATATATATATATATATATATATATATATATATATATATTATATACCTATATAGTATATACTATATAATTGAGGTATAAAATAAATTTTTATCTTTTTATTGTGACAGATCTAATTTGTTTCAAAATACTATTTATTCTTAATAGCCAGCAGGTGATTAATATCTTATAACAAAATTACACTGTTTATTAACATAATAAGCATAGTTCCTGTTAACATAATGATGATTTTTTATTTATTTTAAAAATAGATACAATAATACTATTCAGTATTAGCAATTTTTATATACTGTAATCAAAATGTTTTTAAAAAATAACATCAAAAAATAAATAAATAGAAAAAAAAGGTAATAACTAAAATGTGCCTCAGTATTTCAAAACCCATACTTTTATGTTACTTGAGTGTAACCAGGGAACTCTTATATGATAAGTAGGCAATAAATATAAGTTGATAATAAAAGATTGCTAAAAAAATTGAGATAATAACTAAACATGTGAAATTTTATACTTACAGTAAAATCCTATTTAATGAAAAATTAAGTTCATACAATTGTCTATAAGATTTGTGTTTTATTCTTTACCTGTAACTCTGCCTATACACAGCTTGTTGAAAAAAATTACATAAAAACAATTAAAAAAGTTTTTTTGAAGTAATTTTTAAATATATTAAAGCAACTTAGTTAATAGATTTTTTCAATATACTAATGTAAATTTACAATATCTAAACATTACCATCTACAGTGCCGATGCCATTTCTTTGGTTGATTTTGCCATAAGTGAAGTTAGAGTCTGGTAATTTATAACCACATTTAGATGGTTTTCCTATATCAGCCTAAAATCATTTAAAAAAGATTTAGTTTCACAAGCATTCAGTGAAACAAGTTTTTCTTTAAATGACAAGTCTAAATGTTAAAACTTTCTAAAAACTAGATCTAAAATAGGAAATTAGGAGAATATATATATATATATATATATATATATATATATATATATATATATATATATATATATATATATATATATATATATATATATGTGTGTGTGTGTGTGTGTGCGTGTGTGTGTGTGTGTGCATGTGAGTGTGTGTAACAACAACAACAATAACAATATATTTTGTGTTACAGATGTAAACACAGGTCATTACAAATAGAGATTCACTATTAAGATATTATTAATAAAGTGCAATGACCTTAATAAGATAAAAAATAACAATAACAATAATAATAATATGTAATAAGTAAAACCACATAAAAAAAGTAGGTTAAAAAAGGAAGTTAAGTTAAATAAGTTAACATAATATTATCTAATAAAAGTAAAATTGCATAAAATTTTATAATAAAATTATAGTCATAATCAAAATGGTTAATAATATTGAACTATAAAATAACTACAGTTAACAAATACCAAAAGACAAGTGGATATCAGATATGAAATAAAAGTGATAAGTTACAAGCCAAGAAAACCTATTTAACTCCCTAAAAATCTGCTATCGAATCAAAGTTCAACATCATATACAATTAGAGAGATCAATAGGGAGAGATTATTAATTAGAAATAATGCGATTATCATCACGATTTTTAGTTTTTAATTACATTTTCGTCATAATAGATATTAAAATATTATACTATCACCTTAAGTAGAAGTGGATTACTTGTTTCTCGTAAAACTCCAGGAATTATTTGGGTTGCTTTTGCGGCCATTTTTTGACACCTATAAATCGATAAATTTTATATCTATATGCAGGCTAAAACTTAATAATTGTCTCCTAAATTTGTTGAATTTACTTTTAAGACTTAACCTTAATATTTATTTAAAATAAGATTCACTCTAGAAACAACATGTCGATTGTCCGTTTAATTAGCCATAGCAACGCATTGTACACAAACAAAAATTAAATGTGCGATGCAAGGGAAAAAATGCATTTAAAAACATGGATGCCACAAAAAAGCCGTTTCTAATACCGCCAGAGTTTTTAGCGTATGCAGAAAAACATGAAATATTTGGAATATACGAGGTTTAGGACTAAGTTGTTTTTAATGACATTCATTAATAAGCTACTTCAGTTTTATGCTAGGTTATATTTTACTCATTTGTGGCATTACTAAGAGTATCAGTAATACCACAAGATAGTAAATTATCATGCCAGTAGGTTATTATTATTAGATAATAATAATAATAATGATGCTTCTAATATTGTTAGGCTTATCAATATTATGATTTAAAAAACTGAAATAGTTTTAGTTTAACAATTTATTTTTTAAAGTAGTGAGGTGCTTATATGGTATCAGCTATTTCCATTCGGATTTAAATTTTACCTATATTATTTATATTAGTTTAGAATGCACTAATTACAGAACAAACTAGGCATTAAATGTAGTTCTTTAACGTTTAGGTTCTTATGCTATTAGTTGTAATAGTACAAACATAATAACAATAAATATGATAATAACAATAGTATCATTAATCAAAACATTAATGATAACATTAATAAAAATAAGAAAAAACTTGATAATAATAATATTATTTTTATCGCTATTATTGCTATTATATCAAGTAGTAGTATACATATTAGCATAAAAAAGAAGCAACAGAAGTAAGAAAAGTAGTAAAATTTATGATAAAATGTAATAAGAAAAATAAAGTAAATAATAAATAATACGTAAAGTAGATATTTATAGATAAAGTGTGTGTTTTTAATATATTTATTTTTAATATATATATATATATATATATATATATATATATATATATATATATATATTTATATATATATATATATATATATATATATATTTTATATATATATATATATATATATATATATATATATATATATATATATATATATATATATATATATGTAAATATATATATATATATATATATATATATATATATATATATATATATATATTACACACATACAACACAAAGATATTCATACAAATACATGTAGGCACACACAAATACAGTTATACAGTCATATATACATATATAAATACATATGTCATATAAACATATATAAATACATAGTATGCATTTTTACACAAATATATATACAAATACATACAAAATACACACATATGCATATATATATATGCACAAATGCTACATACGTACATATACATACATGCCTACAAACATACATATATTATGATACAATTTTTTGTTTCAAGAGTTAGAAAATAGCTTTGAATTTACTAAAAAATAAAGATTTAGAGTTTTTTGGTTTTAATCCAATGAGGGGTTTGTTCCAAACATATAAGTACATAAATATTTAATAGAGCCAAATTTAATTTTGTTAAATGTTCTACAAAGAGGTTGTTGCACATTATCAATACAAATGTTAAGTTCATTGCCGTATACTAAGAAGAGCATAGATCCAAAGATAGATCCTTAAAGGTTCCTGAACTTAAGATTTTTTTGTGGAGGCATTTCATTTATAGTTACATAATGAGTTCTGTTTTTTAAGTAAGATTAAAACCATTATATTAAAATACTGTGTACTTTTACTATACGCACTACCTAATTCTAAAACTTAATAAAAAGAACCTCACTGTGACAAAGGTTTTATGTAGGTCAAGAAAAATGTCACACTAACTTATTTTTATCAAGTTCAATTTGAATATTTTCTGAATAATCAATTAGCACATGACTTGTAGAATGTTTTTTTCTAAATCCAAATTGTTGTTTATGAATACAATTGAAGTTATCAAAGAAGTTGTACAATCTCTCATGTAACATTTTTTTAAATATTCTGTCTAAATTAGATAATAGGGAAATAAGTTGCAATTAGCAAATGAGCAAGCTTTAATCCATTCTTTTGAATAGGAATAATATCTGTTTTAAAGAGGTCAGAGAATATTACGTTTCTAAATGAGTTGTTTATATATATACTAATTGACTCAAATATAATTATTAATAAAAATTTTAAAATTGAAGTTGGAATGTTTGTATTTTTTTGATTTTTTTATTTAAAACTTATAACAACAGCAGAACTTTTAAATGGAGATTCAAGTTTTATTAGCTTTGACCTAATTGATGTGTAATTACTGATAGTGCCTACTGTATTTACTTGGTCTATTTATATAGTCAGATGGTCATTATATCAAAAATAGCATACGACATTGCTGAGAAGTTAAATAAAACTAAGTGCAGTTGTTAATAAAGATGGTTTAAGATGATATGAATAGTTTGCAATAAGTTGTTATTTAACACGGTAGTGGTGTAGTGGTAAAAACATTCGCTTCATAAGCGAGAGGTTCCGAGTTCGATCCCACCACGTCCCTGGTAGTACTGCGCTCAACTTGTTTCTCCGCGCAGCGGCCTTGTTCGTCAAGGTTCGTGTTTCGGAGTTATAGAGTTGAGAGAGGGTTATAACCACTATTAAGTAGCCTCCTCGTCTGTAGTGGCCTTCTCGGCCTTGAGGAGGTGAATAACAAAAAAAAAAAAATTATTCAGATGTTTTTCCACATTTATGCAACATTAAAAAATAAATAATATTGGTTACTTTTAAAAATGTTTTTAAAAAAATAAATATTCAGGACACTTGGTTGTGTAGCAAAAACCTATAGAATTTTTTTACAAGAGACAAATTTCCTTAAGTTTTAAAATGTTTAATAAAAGGATAATTATACTTTTTTAATATATATACTCTTTTTCTTATACAAACTTGTGTTTTTGTCATTAAAAAACATTTCCACATTTTACTTGAAGGATACAACAAAGTTTGTAATTTTTTTTTGTTTACTTTTAAAGAATTACATAAAGATATTTTTATTATACAAGTTCATTTATAAATTCTTTACTTTAGACTAAACTAAAACTAAAAACTAAAGTTTTACATTTATATGTTGTTGTTTTTTTATCATTTTGAAATATTTTAACCAAAGTTTCCTCATTGTCACATCTATATTACCTTATTAGCTTTTCAAAATTAGGAGTTTGATAATCATCACTATTTAAAAAAAAAATAATTATTAAATGTCCTAAATTGCTGAAATTAAGGTTTTTATATAATTTTTTAGTCTTTAAAAGTTTATTTTTAGAACTCTAAAATTAAAATTTTTCTTAAAATAAACATAAAATTGCTTAAAATAGATTTCAAACATACATTTCTTTTTCTCTTTATCTAAATTTTTTATTTTACTATATTAAATTACTTCAAGTTTTAAATTTCTCAAGTCAATGATTTGAAAATCTTTAAACTTTGAATAGGGTTTTTTCTTCAAAATTTTAATCTATAAGTCAAATTTGACTATTTATATAGTACACATAAAATTATATCAGTTATTTTATAAATAAATATATGTAGCTTTCATTAATTGATGTTTTTTAAAGTAACTTAATTTTTTAAATCTAGTTGCATAATATTTTCATATACTGGTATCACAATTTTTGAATTTTAGCGACTTCTAAAAAATCTTATAATAACACAACCTGATGATCCTTTGCAAGCAACAATAAATTGGTTAAAAGAACCAGAAGATGGTATGCGTAATCTGATTTTGTAATATGATAGTTTATTTTAACTATGTTGATATAAATTAGCTTATATATATATATATATATATATATATATATATATATATATATATATATATATATATATATATATATACATATATATATATATATATATATATATATATATATATATATATATATATATATATATGTATATATATATGTATATATATATATATATATATATATATATATATATATATATATATATATATATATATATATATATATATATATATATATATATATATATATATATACAAATAGTATTGCGTACTAAGGTAAGCAATCTGACGTCATACTGAAATAGCCTGCTGCTGGGATCTTCAGTACATACATTGACTGACAAATAGCGTGACTCGCAGTGGAGTGGTGCTACATCGACTAAGGGTTTGGGATGGGGAAGCAATCTTTTCATTCATGATTCTTCGTTTTTTTTCTTTTTTTTCTAAAAAAGTTGTATGGATTAAGGGTTTTTAATTCAATGACATTTAATTTCCATATTTATGACTTATGCGTTTTGTACTTCATAATAAATTTTAATATATATGAGGATTATTGGCATTTATATTCGATTTTTTATATTTAATTCATTTTACTATTTATATTTAATTCATTTTACTATTTTTAACTATTGTTTATTGTTAATTACTCTTTAATTTTAGCTTATAAATAAAATCAATACTAGTGACTAAGGTATTAAAATGTTTTCTGTTTATTATGAACAGATCTTTATAAATAAATAATGCTCAAACCATGGCTAATAACACCTCAAAAAATTTCTACCTCTTTTTTTAAGCTACAAGTTAAACACAAGCTTACTTAAATATATTTTATTAATTTTAAAATAAACTTCTTTAATTCATTTGGATTTGAAAACAAAAATTATCTTAATTAAAAATTAATCTTTTACAAGATTTTTGTTGAATTAATAATTTTTTTCAGGCTTTTTGCTTTGTTGGTTCTTTACCTACACCATTTATTTTAAAATACTTAGAATATCCTTAGTTAAGTTAGGCAACAATAGGAATGTTTTGCAAGTTATAAGCTTTTGCTGCGTAATGTATAAAGTTCTCCTCAAAAAAAACTATTGTTTCTGTTTTCTTTTAATGAACTATATATTATATCTAAGTTTTAAGTTTGCCTTAAAAGTAATTAGTATTTTTGGTCTTATGGATGGAACTTAATTTTTTTCTCTTTTTAATTTTATACATTCATGTTTCACTGTGCACCAGAGAGACCGCCAGGCTTTTTGTCGTGGCACTCAAACCAAGTCCTTATTTTATGAAAGTATTATATTGTTTTAGAAAATATATTTTTTGAAATCAAAACGCGTTGCTATCATACCTTTTTTGATATAAATATATTATAAAATGGTTATAAAATTTCTTAATTTTTCGCCGGATCTTGACTTGAAAAAAATGTTAAAAAAATTGTTTTATCCTTGGAAACCACTGATAGATATTTTTTTAATGGAGGTAACAAAATTTATTTTGTAAAATATATTGTTTAATATAATAGTTTAAAAATAAAATTATAAATGTCAAAAAAATATTTTTAACAAATTTTTATATATAGTCAGTTAAATATTAGCTATTTATTATATTAATTATACTGTAACCTTATATTAGATGGGCTTATAAATTTAATTACCCCCTCTACTAACTAATAAAAAAAAACTCCGAGATTAAAAAGATGGTAGTATAAAAATTTTCAAATTGCGGAAGGTTGTGTTATTTAGGAGTTGTATTTCTTTCACTTAAAAATGAATTCTACTTGTTGCTGTTGCTGGAAAAGTATGGTGAAAGATCAGAATCATTTTAAAAAATGAATAAAAACTTAGAAGAACAAATTCAAATGTTTTTCTTTCCTGAATATTCAATGAACAACGATTGCTATGCATCAGTTGTTTGTCCTGGTTGCCGAAGAAATCTTTACAGACTCAAAAAGGGAGACTCACTTTGTGGTGAATGGGGAGCTAAGGTTACCAAGGTAATTTTAATGATTTTTTCCGTTTTTTTTTTTTTTTTTTCTTCTTTTTTTCTTTTGTTTATTTATAAATGTATAATTATTTACGTAGAGTGGAAAATCCTTTTGAGAAATAGCCCCAGAACCAGTCTAACTCTTCCAGATGAGATAACTAATTTTCCGACAACTAAGTCAAGTATATGTTCTTTTTGCTATACATTGGCTGCACCTGGTTATTCTCATAACTCTACACCCACCAGTGCTGTGGCAAATATCATTACACTGTCATTTCTTCTAGGTACTCTTCAAGCTGAACAGGTAAAAAAAACTATATTTTGTTTATAAGTTTTTAGTTTTTTATGCAAATTTCATTTTGTGAAAACTTTACGTAGGTTGCTTCTGGAATTATAAAATGTAAAATGGCTACAGAAAGTTTGATTGACGGATCAACGTTTTGTTTATCTACAGGAGGAAATCCGCTCAAAGTCACAGTTGGTACACCAGAAAACAAATCAAAACTTCAATCAAGCAGTTTTCTATCGAAATAATAAAGCAATTACAAATTGTGTTAGAACTTTCAAATAGAAAAACAAAAGAGATGCTTTCTACTTTACGTAAAGGTTTAGGAAATAAGCTTTCCATTTAGCCTAATATTTGTGGTCGTCTTTCTGAATTAGAAGAATATATTTCTAATTACTACAGTGTGCAGAAGTGCGAGTTTATTGGTAGTAAAGGCCATTTAATTTTACGAGATCTTGTGAATGTTCAAAATACATCAGATTTTGTACTTAACTTATTAAAATTACGTGGTTTAGACCCTACTTCAGCCTTTATAAGAATTTCATTGGATGGTGGAGGTTCATTTTTTAAAGTAATCATCAATGTCTTTGGTTGTCAAAAAGATATGCAAAATCTAAACTTAAGTATGCTCATGCTTAAGTCAAATGGAAAAATGTCTTGCAAAATATTGTGTTAATGGGAGCCTAAGAAAAAAATACCCTAAATAGAATGAACCCTGCTGCCTAATTGCCAGGATAGTGAATTGATAAGATATTTAATTTTACTATCTTATACCTAATTTAATTTTATTGACAGGTTTTAAATTTAACCTAGTAATTTTTAATGTTCAAAAGTAATGTTTACTTTCTGCCCTCCCCAAAATGAGGAAGTTGTAAAATTTGCTTAGTTGTAATCATTGTTTTGTAAGTTTAAAATCCAATCATTTAAAATCATGATCTACATCATTAACTGTGATTTTTGATTTTTATTTGAAATCGTATTTTGTATGATTTAGTGATTTTGAAGTCTTAAAATTATATTGAAATCATTTTCTAGTCACGGCTGTTTCACTCAATATAAATGCGAGCCTGACGTCACGAGTTTATCAAAAAAAAAAGTATTTCCGCATAAAAAGTATAAAAATTCATTAAATTTAAAATAACAGTATTTTTTTTCTATAAATGCTTTCATCTTCAAATAAAAAAAATATAAAAGATCTATCTTTCCTTGTTAAATAAACATTTACATTAAAAGGAATAAAAATGAAAGCTGTAAAAATATTGTTAATAATTTGGCATCACTTTTCTGATTTTTGCGATTTTTACGCAAAACCTGTCTTAGGCCAACTAAGATTTGATAACATAGCTACATGGTCGATGGTTGAAATTTAGAACAGTTATTAATGAATGTCTGTTCTATCTAGATTTCCACAGACTTTGCAAGTTTTTATATAGAAAGTTAGTTTTTAATGCATTTATATTTTTGTTTTTATTCGTTTTGAATAAAAAACATAACATTTTTGAAAAGTCTGTGGATTTAGTAATACTTCAACCTTATATGAATAAGAAAATCAAAAAATTATTTTCTGTACCTCTAGCTATGTTATCAAATATGTTTTCAAACTTGGCATGTTTAGCGACATTTTTTTTAGTTTTTTTTGCATAAATTCTTGTTTACATTTTAAAGCGGTGACGCAAACTCTGATCGTTACGTCCCCAACGATTATCGGATGCATTTTAAGAAAACAAACAAAATAAACGAGACACATTTTATAGAATAAATAACAAAGTTTCGCGGATTAATTTCTCTTGGATATTTGACTAATTTCAGATAAGTTGATTAATCCGATTTTATCTAGTGCATCTATTTGTCAATATTATTCTATTTAAGTTGTTTGTATTATAATTTTATTACTATATCAATAAAGATTATAAAGCAAAGTTTCGTGGATTATTTCCTCGTGGATATTCGACTAATCTCAGATAAGTTGCTTAATTCTTTTATTTTTAGTGTATTTATTTGTAAATATTATTTTATTTAATTTCTTTTATTATATTATTATTATAATATCATTATCATTATTTATGTGATGTATGCAACTGAGAGGGAAATTTTGAAACTGTACATCGGTTGGGAAGATGGTTGGGAAAATGAGTATAACTTTAATTTTGTAAAGCGAGTAATTGACACTAGTAAGATCACTAACAATGTGATTTCAATTTTATTAACAGTTTTTCATCCAAAAGCGTTGTTTACTTTTTTAAGTTTTCTTTTGCCAATTGAGTTTAATATGCCTAATATTGATGTGTTAAATAAAATGTGCCGAAAAATAAAACAAAGAAAAAAAGATTCTAAAAAGTATTTTGAAGCTTCAAAAAACGAAGCATTTTTTAAAATGCAACTGTCTCCAGCTCCACAAACAAAAAAACAAAAAAAATCAGCAGATGCAGATAATTTTTATATTTTAAATAGGAATAAGGAACTAAGTAGTCAAGTTGAACAATTAATTTCTAAAGAAAAAAATAATGTGGAGCAAATAGATAATTTAAAAATACAGGTATCAAAGTTGGAAACTGAAGTTATATATTTAAATTCTAAAAACAAGGCTCTCAACGCACATTGTAACTCATTAAGTTCTCAATTAGAGACTATGAGTATTAGGCTAAAACAGGAGGAGCAGTTCCAACTTTTAAAAAAAAAAAAATTAATAACAGCACACCGTAAATTTGCATCTGCTCGTGCCAAAAATGTAAGATTGCTAAAAAAATTTAAATTTGAAAAAAAAAATGCAAAAATCAGTGATATAAACAAGAACAGTTGCCAAATTTGCAAATATTTTGCTAGCAGTGATAAGGATTTAGTTGTCGTTGATTCTTATTTAGACTATGACAACATTGGTTCCTCTGAATTATTCTGTGGGTTTAAATTAAGTAATCCACAGACTATATCAGTTAAAAAGCCAATAGTTGGTAAGAAATATACTTACATTAAGTTAGGAGATGGTAAATCTTATTCTAAGTTAGGTAGGCATGCTGCAGCTAGACGATCTAAACTTGCTTTTATATTCCTTCGATTATTAGCTTGTTCAGATTTGGAAAGTGATTTGTCTATGTTGTTTTGTGATTCTGTGTCTTGTGAAAAGTCTATGTTTCATTGTGTTGCAAATAAGTTGGGTTTAGTTAGGCAGTTAAGTGTTTCTGATGCTGTAGAGCTGCAGAGCCAATTAAGGATGCCCACGGCTGAATTCCGTAGGCTAAGACGTATTCTGTGTAATCTTGGTGCAAGGATTCTCCCATCTGAGCCCAAGATAAGACAAGAACAAGAAATGCGGACAATGCATGTTAGTAAAGAACATGTTACTGTAAAGTCCATGTTGCTTTATCCATCTGCGAATGAAGCACCTTGTTTAGTACCTGTATTGATGGTCAAGAATTTGATAACTTATATTGAAGAGGTTTTCAATAGTCTGCACGTTCGTGACCACTTCAATTCTGATGTCGGTTTTTGCGAAGAGGTATGGCTCCTTTTTGCTGGGGATAAGGGTGGGAAGTATATGAAATTCCATTTTGAAGTTGTCAATTCTAAATCATCAGGGTCTGTATATGATGTTCATTTATTTTGTATGTATCAGGGTTCAGACTGTCGTGAGAATATTGCCTTAGTTCTCGGGCATTATGCCAACGACATTAAAAGAATTCAGTCGTCAGATTTTAAGCTAAAAGGCAAAATAGTCAGGTTGTTCTTAGGTGGAGATTTTCATTTTATCGATGATGTTCTGGGACACCAGGGTTCAGCTGCTAGCTTTCCTAGTTCTACAGACCTAGTTAAGTTGAATTCTCTAAGAAACCATGCTTCTATGCCTCACACACCTGCTAATTGTAACATCTTAAGGAGGACAATACAATCTCTGGAAAGTGCTTACAATGAGAACTTGTGTGAAGATAGACAAGGTGGAAACCTAAGAGCTCTAGGTAAGTTTCATAATTCAATTATTGCTCCTGTGATTTTCCCCATAATAACTTTAGATAATGTAGTGCCACCTGTTTTGCATATTATGTTAGGAGTTGTGTTAAAACTTTATAAGTTATTGTTGAAGGAGTGTAAGACTTTGGATTGTCAAGCTGTTTCGTCTTTGTCGCATAATGAGAATGTGGGAACGAATGAATTGTGGGCTGCTAAAAGCTTTGAATGTTCTAAAACAGCAGACTCTTTATGTTTATTAGGAAATCAATTTGTAGACGTTGCAAATCTACAGACTCGTTGGTTAGCTTTTGATAAAAATATTTCTGAATTGGAATGCATATCTCTAAACTCCTCCAATAAAAAAAAAACCTGTAAACAGCAAGAAAAGTGTGCTAGTATCAGGTGTTTAATTACTAAATATGATTGTAACATTGATTGGGTGCAGTGTGGTACGTGCCAAAAATTGTTCCATCAATTTTGTGAAATTATTGGTGGTTCGGAAAAGAATGTATTGTGTGATATAGAGAAGTATGAGTGTTTAGCATGTCAGGGTGAAGATTTAGAATGTCTTGACCTTTATATTTCTGAAAAAATTTCTTTTATACACGCACAGCGCGAAGTTTTAGACGTTGAGTATATTCGATTGCAGATAGAGTGTGAAGACCTAGAAAAAATATCTATAAGTAGCATGGGGACTCATGAGAGGTCTCTTTATAAGGCCCTTGAAGATATGAAAGTTGAGCGACAAGCTTACCATGGTAATGTATTTGTAGGTAATCATTGTAAAATAGTATTAAGAAACCACTATAAACTTTGTAGTGTTATTGATGATGAAGCAATTAAAAATAGATTTGTACGTGTGTTTAGTGTTTTTAATAACTTGCAACCTATTCTTTTTAAGCGAAAATTTCTTTCTGATGCCGAAATTTCTGAGCTTCATCAATATATAAATTTATTTGCTATTGAGTTTCATGCTTGCTTTCCAAAAGAAAGTATCACGCGAAAAATGCATGAACTCATTTTCAATGTGCCACTATTTGTAAAATTGCATAAAACTATTGGGTTGCTGAGTGAAGAGGAGGGAGAGTGTTTGCATAATAGCGTAAATAAGGAATTAAGGCAGTTGCATTCAGTTAGAAATCAGGAGCAAAAGCTGCATCTTGTTTTAAAACGCTTTGAATTGCACAGCAAAGCTGATAGGAAGCTTCAAGCCTCTAAGGTGAGAAAGTGTGTTGTGTGTTCAGAGCGTGGCGAAAATTCATTTTATAGACAAGGTCTTTGTCTTGTTTGTGGTCATCAAATTTAGTTTAAATGTTTGAAAAGTTAAAAAAAAAATTAAACTTTTTACATCTAAGATAAATTATATAAGATCCTTAATTTACAAATAAAAGAATTCTATTCTGTTTTAATGCCTGTAATGTTTGTTCAAAATAATAATAATTTTTTATTACAATGATTTTATATATTAGGTAGATGCCCATTCTGTTCCTATTTTCAAAAGTTTATTATATCTATGCAATGCCTTTGCTCAGGTTAAAGAATGGAATAAAAGTCTAGCATCAAATGTATAGCTAACTATTTTAATTTGTGATCAGAGCAACTGGTATGTTTGTTGGATATGATTTTGTATGTTTATGTAGTTAAATCAAAAAACGTTTTATCCTTTGTTATGTAATATGTAACATTTTTTATATATATTAGATCTCCGTTCAATTTTTATCATCAAAAGTTAGTTCTACCTTCGCAGGACCTCTGCTCTACATACCTCCTCTCTAGTTAAAGAATGGAATATAAGTCTCATTTATCAAGTTGGTGTAAAAATTTAGCTTGATAAATTAAGAAGTTGTAAACTTTATTATCACAATTGCCAAGTTGACCAAATGTTCTTCTGGTTTTAAATGAATTATGTATGAGTCTAGTATCATCTGGGTGTTCAAAGATAGTTTACTGCTTGAAGAACTTATCAATGGACCAACTAATTATAAAACAGTTTTTAATGAAAATAAAAACGAATTATCAAAAGATTTAAATCAGCTATTTGTGTATATTTAAACACTTTATTTTTTGTGAGAAGAGATTATTGATACAAGTACCATAAAATAATTCTACTACCAAAAGCTAGGTTAATTCAAAACCTTTAACTCAATTTTGG